TTCAGAGAAAACAACAACTTAGATTGTATGGGTATCTTTTTAATGATATATAAGGAAGGATAAGTTGTCTTTCTTTCTTACCACATGACCTTGCTGACTAAATACACCTCCACTCCTGCTGTTCAACCTATGCCTTGCTCTTCTTTCTTTCCTTCCTCTTTCACTCTTAGCTCTTGTTGTGAAACTAGGGATCTTTATTTCCATTCTTTCACCTCAGACTTTATGCTAGGAGTATAAGGTCCAATCTTTGCTGATGCCTACTTTTGAAAAAAATTGCTGTTTAAAAAACAAACAATACTTTCAATTTAAAAATAGAATCTTGACTTTTTCATGCACACATGTGGGAGTAATGAAAAGGAATTCTGATCAAATAAGAACCAACCTATCTTAAGTAGATAATGTAACTTATTGGAGAATTCAAGATCAGGTAACTCCCTCTCTCAGGGTCCTTGATCATTAAATGATATTAATATTTTAATGATAATTTGAATGATGATGCTGAAATATGGTCAACCAATCTAAAGTAGAGTTAAATTCTCTCAGAATATTAAAAGAGGGGCAGCTAGATGGCGCAGTGGATAGAGCACCGGTCCTGGAGTCAGGAGGACCTGAGTTCAAATTTGGTCTCAGTCCAGGCCCTTGATACTTACTAGCTATGTGACCCTGGGCAAGTCACTTAACCCCAATTACTTCATATAAAAAAAAATAAAGAAAAAAGAAAAAAAAGAATATTAAAAGAAAGAGAGAAAAACTCCATTTGTGATTACCTGAAGAAAATGGTCTATCAAATATAACATGAATTTGTGTAAGGACAAAAAAAAAGCCCTTTTATGAAGGATAGGGCATTAAGATAATAATCCAGGAATGGACTGGGAACCATAAACTGAATGAGTTAGCCATTATTTCAAGGACTAGTATGATAGAATTATAAAAGAAGATATATGATATACAAGTGCCAGAAAATCATCTGCTGATCTAATTAAATTGTAATTGTTTGACTTGATACTGTTTTAGATTTCTATATTTTGTACCATAAAAAAGAACTTTGGCTCTAGAGTCAGAGGATCTGGGCTTGAATCTTGGCTCTGACATTGATTATCTGTGTGACTTTCTGCAAATCACTTAGCCTCTATTGGTTTCAGTTTTCTTATCTGTAACATCAGGAGATGGACTTGATGACCTCTAAAGTCCATTTCAGCTCTTATCTATGATCCAATGAATGACTTTCAAGAAGTACATTTGCTAAACACTGAAACAAGTTACCAAAGAAGGGCACTGAAATTCTTCTTCTTCTGATAATCATTAATAATGCAACAAACATTAGAATTGATAGCCCAAGGTGTTGCCTTGCTCTTAAGAGACTTGACAACAGGATCATATGAGGTTCTTTAGTTTCAACACAAAAATATTAATAGTCTAAATACTTTTCACCATATAGGTGCATTTTCTTGCTGTAGTCCCTTCATACAAATAACCTCTTTTCAAAACTTCCAGTGACTGGTTAAATTCAGTTGGCATAGTTTCCACTTTGCCCTTTGCCAGAAGTAAACACCAATCATGTTATTCCGGGGTAACTGGGGAGGGACCAAAACAAAAAAAAAATAATTTTCATTTTACATCATCTGTACAATTAAGTGCAGATAAATACTATGGATTACCAGACTAAACCTTTTTTTTTCTTAGCATATGCTTTCAGATATAGTAAGGCAGACTGCTCCAGATAATTAAATGAAAGATCTACATTTAAAGGGGATAGAGAATACATTTTCATTCTTGGAATAAACGAAAACATCTTTGGGACAAGTGAAAATGGAAACAAAGACCAAATAAAAAGGGAAAGACATTTGAAATTAGCTTCCATGAAGACCTAGAGAAGACAAAGGTAACAGAAGCAGGAAAAACTTCCTGCTGGAAAGGATAAAAATCTTTGTCTATGTGGGGCTTTTCTTCTCTAAATTCTAAAACCCTCTATAACAACAGGATCAATCCTCGAAAGAGAACTAGAAATTTAGCAGAACTAGAACAAGATTATAAAGAAGAAAGTGGGCTTTGGTTTGGATAACATCAAGGACATATAATTATCACACAATAACTATGTTGCTTTCATCTCTTTAAAAGCTACATTTTTTCTCTTCAAATTATAAGTAAAAACTAATACACGTTTCCAAAGATAGAGATTCAAAGTTGGGGATAAACTTTCAAATAACTTTGGATTATACTTAAAACTATATAATTTACTGCTTGAATCTTCATGGAAATAAATGCTGATATAAATTATAAGTAAATATTTCGTGTGGTACGTTGTTAAAATGCAGTTAGTTCATAAAGGTCACATTCCCAGTACACTTTTGAGAAAATTAGCCCAATAACTGACAACTACCTATTAAAGCACAAGTCCACTTTAGGTTCTGAGGGGAAAATGTTATCCCATTTTAATAAAATCTAGGACTAATTTAGGATTTTTCAGATTGTGTTTAAGTTAGGACAATTACAGTAAACACTGACCTCAAATGAACTACTATAATTGGCTGGGTGAAATGCTGCCATTGAGGTCACCATTTCAGTTGACATTCTTCCCATAATTCTGCTAAAAGATTCATTCCCTAAGCAATTTTTTTTCTTCTTCTGCATAACTGTTTTATCTCCCCCATTCCCCAGCATCTCAACAATACTAAGGATATAAAAAGAATATTGCAAATGATATTTTACCCACTGAATTATATGACCTTGTATTTATATAGCACCTTGCTCCAAATTGCTCAAGTTGCTCAAAATTCTTAAACGTTAGGTTCTCTAGCAAGGCACCACTAATGGATTGTAAACCTAGGTGATCTAAGCAGAATTACCTAAGGTCCCAGATGTACTTCAAAAAGAACATATTTCTATGAGAGGAAGCAGAAATAAGCAATAAACTGACTCTCTACACATTTCAGTTTATAGCTTACTTGCAAAAAACTTATATATGGCAGAAAAAAAAGATCTATAGTGATGTTCCAAACCCCTCTCCTAAAGTCATTTTCTCAATATAGAAATTTGTTTTCACAAAATGTTTAAATGGAATTGTTTATTTTGATAAAACTGGGGAATGTCTATAAATGTTTAATAGCCATTTTTCATTTCAGTGAGGCCCAAATAAGACAAAACTGTGCTTCAACTACTAAAAGAGAGGCTTAGGTGGCACATAAAACAAAATTAAAGCCTAAAAGAGAAATATGTTAGACATTCACTTTAATCCAGTGGGAAGTGTTAGACTCTTCTCTGGAATTCTTTAATAGAAGAGTTTGATCCTCTGCCTTTGGAGTATCTTATCAGGTCCTATGTAAAGGAAAGGAATTGGAAGAGACAGCCACTCAAGGTACTGTTATAATCTTTTTTTGAGTGTGTATGGAGATAAATACATGTATTAATATAAATTTTTAAATATCCACATACATAGGTCAAACCAACTTAAAATATATCATTACAAAGAAGGCATTCCTATAACAAAAAAAGATCCAAAAGCCACAGGAAATGGCTTATTTCTTCAAGCAATAATCAATAAAACAAAATTTCAAATCATTTAAAAATGTGGACAAGCCTTAGAGCACAGCCTGAACTGTAGCACATTTTAATGAGCAACATACATGATATAACTTTCATATATCACAATTAAAGTGACTCTGAAAATCTTTTTTTTTTCAAGATTCCTTGAGTGAGCTTTTGCTAATGATTGTAGAGAGGCTTAGGGAAAACAATATACCTTAGATAAGGGTGGGTATTTAACCTTTAGAGGCATTTAAGTGATTAATACATTTCCCTTTATTACACTTAGTTCTGAAACTGGTTTCAGATGACTATCTTTTTATTAAATATTTTACTCAGGCTCATCAATTTTTTTTCAAGTTCATCCTATCTCAAAACTACTTAAAGCTAAACCCTTTTGGAAACAATGAATTTAAAACCCTCACATAGGCTAAATTGATTTGAATTCTAGTATTCCAGACCCTAATTAGGTGATTCTGCCATAAAAGGACAGCTGTGTCTCTTGTTTGTTGTAGTGCCCTCTAAAGACAAGATGGGAATGGTCATAATCACTCCATATGTAATTTATTTTTGTCATTTAAGCTGCTGATGTTAGGAAGCCTTCTTTAATCGATGAGGAAAACCTTAAAGTACAAACTGTAATTGACAATGGCTTGATAGAAACAGTCAATTTAAAACCTACTTAACAGAGGCCCGGATGGGAAGTGGATAGTTAAGGTTTCAAAAGTCTTTCAATCTTACTTTGTAAGAACTTGTAAAACTTAACAAGGTGCGGGGGGGTGGGGAGCTAACTGAGGCCCAGGTGTGACTTTTCTTTATCACAAAGCAATACTTTCTACAGAGCTGGGCTGGGTTAATTGAATGTAAAAGATCCAAAGGTTTTTGTTTTTGTTTTTGTTGGGTGGGGGAGAGGCAGGAGGAGGAGAGCTTTTTGTTTTTTTTTTCCCCAGGAAAACAAGATAAAAAGGTTTCCTTTTCTTTTTTTAAGGGAAAACGCTAGCCCCAAATGAAAATGATATTAACACTAGTTTTTTTTTTTTTTCAAAAAATAAATGCTATTCAGTTTAACAACTCAAATTTGGTGGGACAAGGTGTAGAAAACAAATCTAAAGTGTTGTGAAGGGAGACAAGAAAAGGGTGAAAGGAAAAAGCAAAACAAAAACCAAAACCAAGCACACAATTCCCTCTGGGTTTAAAAAAAGGACTCAAAAGACGCTCCTGATAAATATTACTATTCCAGAAAGGGCCATATCCGTCCAACGTGATGAATTTAACTAAAGGTGTGAGAGGCAGCCAAGTGTGGAATGAATTGAGCGCCCTCGCTTGCTTTCCTAGGACAGAAAGTGAGTTTACCTGTTGGGATTGCGAACCCGAAGTAAGACTTGTTGGGAAAATCTAAGCTCCGCCGGGCTGACTGTTCTAGGGGATAAGGGTGAGGGTGAGGATTCAGCAAGGGAGTGGGAGGATGTCTGACTTACTTTGAGCAGCTTGCAGCGGATTTGAGCGGAGACCATGTGGCTGTTTCGCAGGTTGCCCACTCTGAACATGAGCGTCAGCTTCCCGTCCCTCATGGAGATCACCGAGTGCTCGCTGAACATAAGGGTCTCCGCCCGCTTCTTGGGCTGGGACATCTTAATGAACATGCAGCCGATCAGGAAGGCGTCGACGATGGAACCCAAGATCGACTGGAAGAGGAAGAGGATGATCCCCTCGGGGCACTTGTCGGTGATGTAGCGGTAGCCGTAGCCGATGGTGGCTTCGGTCTCGATGAAGAAGAGGAAAGCAGAGGGGAAGTTGTAGACATTGGCCACACAGGGCGTGTAGTTGCCAACGTGGGCTTTGTTCAGGTCTCCCCGGGTGTAGGCGATCACCCACCACATGGACGCCATGAAGAGCCACGCCACGGTATAGGTGAGGATGAAGATGAACAGGTTCCAGCGCCACTTGAGGTCCACCAGGGTGGTGAAGAGATCCGAGAGGTAGCGGCTAGTCTCACTGCCCAGGTTGCCGTGCTGCACATTGCACCTCCCGTTCTTGTCCACAAACCGCTGCCGCTTTTTCCTGGGGACCAGCTGCTGCTGCTGCTGCTGCTGCTGCTGCTGCTGGGGCCCCTGGCCCTGCAAGCCCGCGCTGCTGGACGAAGTGGTCACTACCTGGTAATCGTCCCCAAATTTTCTGCGGAGCGCAGACATAATACGGGGGAGCGGGCCAGATTCAAAAAGGAAGGAGGCGCAGGAGCGAAGCGCTGCAAACCAATACCAACGGGGGAGGGGGGGGTAAGGAAATAAGAGGAGAGGGAAATGGAGAGGAAAGGGAGGAGGGAGGACACCCAAGCAGGTATCTTAAGTCTCTTAGCCCCCCTCTTCCTTTCCTCTTCAGGTACGACGCCTTGGCACCTCCCCTGGGCCAAATTCCTTCTTTCTGATTTGAGTCCTAAAAAAGGGGGGGGGGGGGGAGAATGCTCTCCCACACTTAGCAAGAGAGATGCAGGCAAGGACAGAGAGCCCAGTTTTACCTTTGTGCAGTTAAAGCTCTTTTCTCCCTTCTTTCCTCTTCATTTCCCCTTACCTTCTACCTCTTTTCTTCACTTCTCCCTCCCTTCAGTTGCACCCGCAAGTTGTAATAAAAACAAAACATTAAGAAAAAAAAAAAAAACAACCTTACTCCCACTCCACCTGCAAATTAGCTGAGCAGCTAAGGGCTGAATTGCCTCCCTGGACCCTCCCCCCTCCCCCCAAAAGCCACCCTCTTCCCTGCTGCGGGTGTTAGTCTCACTGGTCCCCTCCACTCCCGGTTCCTATCCTTCCGCCAAAATTGGATACAAAGGCATGTCTGACCGGTTATGGTGCGACACCCCGCAAATCTCCCCCCTTCCTTCGGTCTCAGTGGACAGAGAGCAGAGCAGTACCCCTGTCGTTGGCAAATCCGAGACTACCCCCAATTCGACGTCCGGCCGGGCTTTCACTAGCGACAGCCAGGGCTCTTCAGCTGGACCCCAGAGTGGCACATGGGCCGCCCCCCTGCGAAGAGACGATGGGACTGGCAGTACCAAGCGCCCAGATCTGGGAGAAGGAGCGCCAATGGGGGGTGGGGGTGTTTAGGAGGGGGAAGGAGAAGGCAGCAGCAGCAGCAGCAGTGGCTTCCCTTCTCAAGAGCCTCTCTTACTCTCAGGTTGTTTTCATCCTCGCCCCCACTTTTCCTGGTTTACCACGTTGGGTGCCAATGCAGCTCCCCCATAGCCAGCCTGCTCCAGTGCGTACCAAAAAGCCCCCTCCCCCCCCAAAAGAATCCTGGTGCGCTGGGCACAGCGGGACTTGAGGGCTGAGCTCCTGGTTTCACCGCGTCTCTTCTCTCCACCACCCCTCCCCACCCCCTTTTACTGGCTAATCGCGGTGATTCCTTAGCAAAGAGGTTAAAGCTGGGAGCTGGCGATCAGACTTTGAGGTCAAAGGGGAACGCTGCTCCACTGATTCCTCTTCATAGTAAGAAAATTTACCTCTCTCCTTCAATTTACCCCTTACCCTTTTCCACCTGAGTGTATATGTGTGTGTGAGAGAGAGAGAGAGAAAGAGAGAGAGGAAGGAGCAGAGGGTCTGTGGGAGTGTGGTGTTGGTGCGTGTGATCAGCTGCAGAGCTCAGCTAGCCCCGCCTGTCCCAGCCTTCCCCCAGTGTTCCAACAGCCTGAATTGCACCTCCGCTCCTGAGTTGAGCCTGCAGTGTCTCGCAGCGCAAGAAAAGGCAAGCCCCTAGAATCAGCAGCGTCTCAAAATCTGCTTGCCAAAACCAGTCAACTCTCCTTCTTTGCTCCATCAGCCAGAAACCACCCCAGCAAGCAAGTACTGCTAGTCTAAAGGAAGAGCTTTGCACTCTTTGGTTATAAAAACTATGGCTCTAACTCAAAAATGATGCCTAGTTGTGGTGCTCCATCATTAACAGCAGAGGTCCCTTTAAGTGGAGAACAACCAGCTTCTGAGATAGGAAAACAAGAGACAGGGCTATAAGAACTCCGAGGTGCATGCGACAAGAGGGGCTTTAGGAGAACGGTGTTGGGTCTCTAGGAAATGTTCCCAACTTCACCTATCAACAATTGCTTTGCTATGTGAGAATCTGTTATTCTAGCTGTTGATTCATTCCCTTTAAGAAAAGCTAGGTAAAGGTGACAGCTCAGTTAGCATAATAAAGTAGAGGGGTACAATACTGAGCGAAAGGATTTGAGGAAGGTACCAATCTTTATTTTATTTGTCCTGCTTCTAGAAAGAGAAGTGCAGACAAATAATAAGAGGATCTATTTGGAAAATTATAGTATCATAGCAATGTAAATATAAAAGACATTCATTTGACTGAGTGACCTATCCAAAAAGTACCCTTCAATTAAACCTGTTTGGTGTGTATACAGGATACTCCTTTTCATCCCTCCTCATCTGTAATTTCTGTTCAAACAGAATCTATATATACTGAAACATTAGCATGACAGACGCAAGAAGACAAAAGGGAGCTTTTCGTTACTTGGATTATAAGATAAAATATGTTGTTCATGTAAGCTTTTTGATAAGAGATAGATGGCTGAACTATCAAAGCTTTCCTACCATTGTTTTTGTTGCTAAGATTATATAATAGCACTGTGCTTTTACTGTGCTTGTCTATAAGCTGATGGCTGTGCTCTGGAGTTACACTTGCCAACAAGAGATCACAAACCATTTTAAAGAGTTAGCCTGATGCTATGGATTAAGTCAAAAGGCTACAGATGACTTATAGAAGCTGCCTGAAGGGGTTCTCACCTCCCCAACCCCTTCTCCAACCAGTCTTCACCAAAGACTTCCAGAACTGTAACATAATGGAAAACAATCACTAAACTAATGCAGAACAATGGCACAGAGCAAAGGAAAAAGAATAAGAAATACAGACAGAATCAACATATCATTAAGCTCTGGATGAAATTATCAGAGTGTGTCATACTTCATATGTGGATGAACCTTTGACCTGATTTAGACATCTTATCCAACTTTTTGAAAGGTTTCACCGTTAGACCAGAGAGACCAGGTAATAGAAAAGTGGCAGCATCCACAATAGAGACATCCTGAAGGACAACTGGCTTCCCAGGATTGAGGTCATGCTTTCAGCAGTTTCAGATCCATGGGCCAGGACAGGTAGAAAATGAATGACAGACAGTTGGATACTAAAGCAACTACTGTCTGATGAGCTGAAGTAGAGCACTGAAAGCAAAAAAGGGTCAAAGCAATAGTACAGCAGAGAGAGAGCTGTATAATTCTAGAAAACTACCTAGAGTGCAACAATGGGAGATGGGGGTAGAAAGGGGAGCTTGATTCATGGCCAGGATTAACCCAGAATGTGAAAAAGCAAGCCACAAATAATGGGTACCTACAGAATTCAGGAGAAGATTGCTGGTGCTGTGTGCTTTTTTGCTAAGCTTATCTATAGCAGTATCATCAATAGCAGCATCTTCAAAACTGAAGAACTATGAATTTATGCATCATACCAAATAAGGCTGACAGACTCATACAACCACATGGTCATTTAAATTACCCAATGTAGTGGATCTTAAAGCAAAGGTCTTTGCTCTTGGGAAGCACACTTATAAAAAATTACCAAATAGGAAAATTAAAAATGACAAAATTAAAAATGAAATACTGTAGTATTTCAATATTTTATGGTATAAACTCTATTGTATGCTTATTTCATCATTCGATGGATGGCCATAGTGAGTTATAGCACACATCTTTGGTATGAGCTCTAATACATTATCCAGACAGGAAAATGTGCTTTATCTCCTACATTATGCCCTACCCATCACCCCCTTCCCATTTCTAATAGTGATGGCAATTTGATGTTAGGGAGAGAAAGGCATGGGAGACTAATTATTGCTTTAAATGGGGCATTTTCCTTTCACTATGACACTGGCTGTCCCTTACCACTTGGGAGGAGGCCACTCTCTGAACTTCCTATATGTAATGTGGGGAAACAGCATGGTTTTCCATTTTTACTCTTCCATAAAAGAACTCTGGTTATTTCCTCTACAGGAAAATAAAGATCAGTTTGGGATGTGATTGCTCAGATTTAGAAAAAGAGAAATTGACTTACCAGAACAGATAATTCATCCCATCCCATCTTTAATCTTACCTCCAAACTGTGGGCTCTTCCAGAGGATTCAGGGAAAAGTAAAAATGTCACCACCCATAATCTGTTTATTTTAAACCCTCAAAGTTTTTTATGATTTAGAGCCAAGCATGGTAATTCCTTTAAAAATGCATAAATGTACAGCAAGAATTAAACTCCTAGTTAAAGGAAAGTCACTTTTATATTGAATAATGTTTTCTCAAGTCTGTTGTCAGGGATTCATTAATGAACAGCAGTAGAATGTAAAACTTTGAGGGCAGGAATTATTTTTAATCTTTTTTTTTTTTTATCTCCAGAGCATATGAAAGTCACTTAATAAATGCTTAGCTGAATTGGTTTGAACAAAGAGTATCAAGATTTCTCTAACCCATTTCAGTTAAAGATCAGGACCTTTTCTTCTAAAAACATTAAAAAGTTCCAGTATTTCAAAATTTACATCTGACATAAGGGCCTCTATTATTAAATATATATTAAGTATAAATACCGAATAAAATTACATATGGAAATCTTCAGCAGATTAAATGAACACTAATTTCATGTCAATATTCCTTTCCTTACCTCAGGGACAACATGAATGTCCAAATGAATACTATGATAATCTAACTGACAAGTTTCCCAAAGTTTTTGACTTTTAACTTCCACATTTTGGTTATGTATTTTACCATCACTTTTTCATTTCTTTTACATAGTGCCTTTTATCCAAAGGTATTAACCATCAACATGGAAGAGGTCCAGCACACAGTGAAAAAGTAATTCTGTAGAGATTGGGGATTCTTAACCTTTTTGTGTCATGGACCCCTTTGGTCTGCTAAAGCTTATGGACCTTATCAGAATAATATTTTTAAATGTATATAGTAAAATTCATAAGGTTACAAAGGACATGGTTATAAATATAGTTATTGAAATATAGTCATCAAAACAATGTTTAAGTTCATGGACCTCAGTTTAAGAACACTTAATATAGATAGTCATGTTCTCTCAATGTTTCTGTTTACAGATGATGTTGTACTAATTAAATAAGTTCTAGAACATTGCAGAAACTCTGAAATGAGGTACA